TCGGAACCAATAACAATTGCAGAATTTTGATGATCTTCGTGTAACGTAAACAAACGATAACCCTAACGCTAAACAAATACTTCTAAGTACAAATAGCAAAGCTGTTTTATATTAAAATAATCGAAAAAAAGAGGGTATTATTATCGAAATTGTGTTTTATATCGGATGTAGATCCTACGAGGGGATCACAACCTGCTGGTGCATGCATAATCACGAGTCATTTGACTTCATATAAAAACAATCCGACATACTTTTTTGTATTGTTATAATCAAGTTACAACAATCCGTATGCACCACTAACTCTACCTTCTTACACCAAAAAATATTAAAAATCGAGCTTATTTATGTTCATTTATCACTCCACTTCCATCACTATAATAATTTTTGAAATCTCGTAATGATGAAATATATTTACGTATATATAAATTTATGTTTATTATTATTCATTTTTACATTCCAAAGTTATTCGAAAATTTATCAACACCCTTTAGCAAAATTATGGGAGGTAGACGTAAATGTGGTGCCTAACTTATTGGCACTTGAAAATACATTAATAGGGGTTGACATGATCTTACAGTCATTGCTAGATCAATATAGTACGAGCTTTGGTGGATCTTACATAGATTTAAAGAATGAATTAATAATTGTCCAGACATTAGATCCAGAAATGATCGAAAAAATAAGATTTTCACATCAGTTATATAATTATAGGAATTTGTTATATTTTCAACCAGCAGATACAAGTAAATCCCTACATGAATTAAGGACTTTATTTAATCAGATAATAAAAGGAGCTGAAGATTTTAGAATAAATGTTGATACTTCACTAAACATTTACGTTTACACTGATATGGAGGCTAATAACAACGTTATACTTGTACCAGATAATCGTTCAAGTAATATGGAATTTATAGACACCATCAAGGATTATAACCCGGATGTAATTTATGCACAGACAGGAAATCCACTTAATCTAGGTATTTATAAACGTCAAGATATAGTTGCCAAACGCAACATAACTAAAAGGCTTTTTAATGGCGATGGTATATATAATAGAGTTGGTGATTCTAAATGTTCAGTGGGTTTTTGGGCAAGAAACACAAGTGCAAATTTGAATTACATTGTAACTGCGGGACATTGTCGTATAAACGAAGATAAACTTCATAGTTTTTATCATTATCCATGGTATGCCGACAAACCACAAGAAGATCTTAGAGCAAGCTTTATTGGAACATTAGGTTATTTTAGTACAGAACCACACGATTTTGGTTTAATTAAGGCAAGGGGTAAATATATTAAACCATCGCCGTATATTATGAATATAGATTATGAAGAATATCCGGAATTATTTATATATGGATATAAAAGAATATATAGTCATGGTATTCATATATGTAAATCTGGTTTAGCTACTCACCTTTCTTGTGGGCATACGAAAGGGTTAAATGGGATTTTGATAGATCCCAATGGTATTACAACGAACTTGATCACTGCAAGCTTAGACACACTTAAAAGTGATAGTGGAGGGCCTGTATTTTCTTTTTTACAAGATTTGCGTTATGTACATTTGATTGGTATACACAATGGAGGTATCGCTAATCGTAGAGTGACTTTTACCCTGCCAATAGAATTTATTCTCAATGAAGTTAAATTATTTCTTGTCGATATAAATAATTATCAACAGTTTGGCATTTAATGATTTAGCATTTAAGATTTAGCATTTAATAGTTTTAATATTTAACATTTAATATTTTTAATATTTAGAATTTAATAATTAAGATTTAGCATTTTATGATTTAGATAATTTGGAATTTAATTATTTAGCATTAGAGGAATAATATTGCAATATCACATACATCTGACAAATATATTTCACTGAAATCTACCTAACAATCACTTCCACCTTCTATGAATTAAGAGATCTATTCATGTAATCACTAATTTCTATTTCTATTTATTCATCCATTAATCGTCATATCTATTCTTATTATTTCGATAATTTTCAATAAATATTTTTTATATTCACGGAGTAAATTAATGCATCATAGGGATGCTATCTAGTCTGGTCTTGGACCAATAGACTGCAATCCGTCAGAGAACGGGTCTGAACCCTATAAGAAGTTAATCTTATTAGGTCTTAAAATTATTTCCACTGGGATCTTAAACCAATCTTAAGACTGGTTACAAAGTCATGATTCAAATTATGGTCCCAAGAGTTATTTATTTAGACCTATTCTGGATTAGTTTTTATATATGTTATAAAGACTCTGATTTAAGGTCTGGACCACAAACACACTCTTATTTTAAAGATTAGTTTTAGACCGGTCTTCTATTTTGAATTCTTATCTCTCTAAACAGTATTAAAAATGAACTGTAATTAAACCAAAAAAAAGACCAGACTGAATTGGACTAATAATAGACCTCCCAAATATGGGGGACGTCTAAAGCGGAGGCAACTTATATTTAATAATTTCAACAATGGGTGAGTTCATGATTAAGGGTCAACCAATGGACCAAATGTGGCTTAGTAAATACCAATAGACTATGTCCATTGACCCAATGGCTAATGCTTATTGACATTTTTTTCAATAATGGATGAGTCCGTAATTTCAATAGTGTTGTATATATTCGTGGATTTATTGTAATTTGCACAAAACACCTTTAATCGAATTTTGTAGATTGTGCTAATATTACAATCGTCTAGTTACTATAAGTGCATGCTCTTGGAACCAAACATTAACAGCGTGCACTTATAGCACTAAGTCAAACCTTCCTAAATGCAAGTCGTAGGGACCAGACTTTGATAGCTTGCATTTAGAGAACAATAAGAAAATTGCATTTATAGGAATCTGGTATATTTTTGGACCAGAGTTAAAGGTTGCATTTAGGGAAGTGTAACACTTGGCGAGTTGCACTTAGAGAGGTCTGACTGTAGTATGAGTGAACATGTACAGTCGGAATAATGTGATAATTGAGAACCTATAAAACTTATAAAAATTATCTGACTTATAAAAATTTAGATGTGCAATCTATCTAAATGTTTGACAATTCAATTATTCGCCAGTGATAATGCTTTGAAAGCATTATGTTTCTATATTTAACCTAAATCTATTATGCCGAAATCACAAACCTAACCGAATTAATCGAAAAATCATTCAACTAATTTTTATCAGGTGTCCCAGTATACAGGTGAGACCGTCCCAAATTTGGGGGTCGTCTAAAGCGGAGGCACAGCATGTGATCAACAGCCAATCAAATGATAGAATTTTGATGATCGCCAGCGAAGCAAAAAAACAAAAAACCCGAAAAAT